TCTTCATTCAATGGGATTTGCCGAAAAATTGGGAGCCTGGTTTAAATTCGAATTCAGAAGGTCTTCCGCTGCGGGGCGTGTCGTCGACGTCAAAATCGCCATTTTTGAACTTCGCAAACCATTTCCGTGGTTTAGACTTGCATATAACACCTTCTCCGTATACGTTGCAAATGTTCCGGGCTGCTTCAGCAGATTTTTGGCCTCGATGAAAAGCGAAGAAGAGAAAGTGTCGAAAATGTTGCTTTTTACCTCCTGGATATTCCATTTCTAAGCCTCAAAAGTAATAAAAAATTAAACTACTCAAAAAGACGATTAGCACAGTTTTGTAGAGCAGAAAGAGCTCTATCGAATGAATATTATACACTTTGTCAAACAGCAAAAAATCATTGTAAAATAAAAGAAAATATAAAAACGCTACAAACTTATTCCCCAATCCAATAATTAAGATAAAGAGAGAGAGAGAGAGGTATCGTACTCACAGTTCAAGGACTATGGTGTCGGTGTCCGACTGCGGCGCCTCCTCGAACAGAGCGAACGCCCGGACGATGTTGTCGTGACGAGCGACTCGCAGCAGATCGTATTCGGCGCGCGTCAATGATCGAGACTGCTTCGATCGGGACACTTGCTTGAGCGCCACTTCTCGGCCCGTTCCTTGATCCCTGGCCCGATAAACCTTCGCGAACCTACCGTTCCCAAGCTCCTTCGGCTCCACGTACATCTCCGCGAACCATATCGCGGCCGCTTCTCGACCGACCAGCTCCGCGTTCTTCGCGGAGCGCAGATTCTTGTCGTCGACGGACGTCGCGATCGGTAGTTCGTCGATCGATTCATCCGCGATGTTCTCGCTTGCGGTGTTCCACACGTTGGGACCGATACCTGGAAGATCGATTCGGTTTGATTGCGAAGGGGGTGCACGCGAAAAAGCGCGAGGCAAGAGAGACGATTCGCCAGTGTTAAATCAACTTACCGACAACGCGGAGAGGAATTTTCGCCGAGCAAGAACCGGTCTCGTGATCGACGCGGCAATGGTACACCCCGGAATCGGAGGGCAGGCAGGGAACGATCTCGAGCGAGAGCGAGTCGGCCGTTTGGAACAGGCGGTACCGATCGCTCTTCTCGATGTCGCATCGTTGTCCTTCCTTTTTCCAGGAAACGATCGCGCGTTCCGCGCGACGCACCTCCAGCACGAGACGAGCCACGCCACCGGCCGTCGCCCTGATCGAACACGGAATAGTCAAGATCGCGGGCGGACCGTTCTCGTCCGCGGTCTCATGAACGTGAACGGTCTCGGCGTCCGTATCGATTCTCCGCGGACGGAAAGACCATGCGCGACTGATAGACGAATTCGGAACGAGACTCGCCGGGATCCAGAACTCTTCTTTCCTCCCGACCACCGGAGACACGATCAACCCTGGCCCGTCCAATCGAGAGATCTTCAGCTCCTCTCCGGCACGCAATTTCCCCCAATCCGCGGTCAACCTTACTCTGCTACCTGGAACGATCTGCGGAATCTACCTATTAACATTTCGGCCAGTCCTTTCTCTTTCCTTTCGGCCTCATGCACTGGCTCGCTCTCGATCATTTTAGTCGCGCTTTTTCTTTTTTCTTTTTTTTATTATATACTCGTGTCGTCCAACTCACCGAGATCATTCTTTTATTCCCGCTCGAATCTCCTCCCTCCCCCATCTACGAAGCTTCTTTAGAACGCGACGTCCACACGCGCGCATCAACGAATACTCAATCACCGATCACACGGAGAAACAAACAGGATAGAGAGAAAGAGAGAGAGAGTAAGCAGCCAGAGAGCACCATGTTTGCTAATTACGGAAGACAGGGATAGTGATAGAGAGCGAGAATGTCCGTGGAAATGGGAAGAGACAGACAGAGAGGAATAGAATAGCGTACAGCGAGACATCAACAGAGAGCAATAGCACCGGCAACGAAAGTCTATGTACTATATTAAGAGAGAATTTGAACGGTAAACGGAATGCTGTCCACAGTGGAATGGTAACGATATAGCGGCGATGGAGACGACGGCGGTGGCATCGGCATCGTTCAACGACAAAAATTAGAGAACTGATCGCTGCACCAACGAAAAGTTATACGATAGAGAGGGAATAGCAGCAGGCATCAAGAGGCAGAGAAAGAAGAGTCCTTTTGCTGCAATTGCAAGAATTCCAATTACGGATAAGCAAATAGACTTGTATGGATATGTACAGTGACGGCCGTATATATCTTGAGGACAACTCCGATTCTGTCCTTGACGATTTTATGAAATTTTGTTCGCGTATGCTCCAGCTAAACGGTTGCCATCGAAGTACAGTAATGTTTCTCTAATTGACGCTCAGATTGTCCACGAAAATGGACAATTTAGGAAGAGCAGATACGATTACTCGATCCTTGCGGTTCATTTTTATAGTTTCGAATTGTCAACGATTATAAAAATGAACCGCAAGGATCGAATAATCGTATCTCCTCTTCCCAAATTGTCCATTTTTGTGGACAATCTGAGCGTCAATTAGAGAGACATTACCGTATACCATTCGTATAATTGAACGGTATTTCAAAGATAATCAAATTAATGCAATGAAATGCCCTGCTCGCCCTCTAGACAGAAATGCTTCGGGCAAAAAGTATGCAAAACTGAAAAGATTGATAACGAATTCTTGAAAAGTATTAATATTGTTAATAAAATATTAACATTGTACGTTTCAAAACTAACGTCGAATATGAAAATGAGCAAATTTCGTGCGTGTCCAGTAAAATTGGAACACCGCAATTATGAAGCATGATAATATACTTTCATACTTTCGAATACAAGAATTCTCTTTCGATATGCAGTAATGTCTCTCTAATTGACGCTGAGATTGCGCACGAAAATGGACAATTTGGGAAGAGGAGATGCAATTATTCGAGCTTTGCGGTTTGTTTTTATAGTCACGATTATAAAAATTAACCGCAAGGATCGAATAATCGTATCTCCTCTTCCCAAATTGTCCATTTTTGTGGACAATCTGAGCGTCAATTAGAGAGACATTACCGTATACCATTCGTATAATTGAACGGTATTTCAAAGATAATCAAATTAATGCAATGAAATGCCCTGCTCGCCCTCTAGACAGAAATGCTTCGGGCAAAAAGTATGCAAAACTGAAAAGATTGATAACGAATTCTTGAAAAGTATTAATATTGTTAATAAAATATTAACATTGTACGTTTCAAAACTAACGTCGAATATGAAAATGAGCAAATTTCGTGCGTGTCCAGTAAAATTGGAACACCGCAATTATGAAGCATGATAATATACTTTCATACTTTCGAATACAAGAATTCTCTTTCGATATGCAGTAATGTCTCTCTAATTGACGCTGAGATTGCGCACGAAAATGGACAATTTGAGCGTCAATTAGAGAGACATTACCGTATACCATTCGTATAATTGAACGGCATTTCAAAGATAATCAAATTAATGCAATGAAATGCCCTGTTCGCCCTCGAGACAGAAATGCTTCGGGCATAAAGTATGCAAAACTGAAAAGATTGATAACGAATTCTCGAAAAGTATTAATATTGTTAATAAAATATTAACATTATACATTTTAAGACTGACGTTAAATATGAAAATGAACAAATTTCGTGCGTGTCCAGTAAAATTGGAACACGCAATTATGAAGCACGATAATATACTTTCATACTTTCGAATACAAGAATTCTCTTTCGATATACAGTAATGTCTCTCTAATTGACGCTGAGATTGCGCACGAAAATGGACAATTTAGGAGGAGGAGATGCAATTATCCGAGCTTTGCGGTTTGTTTTTACAGTCACGAATTGTCAACGATTATAAAAAACGAGCTGCAAGGCTCGAACAATCGTGTCTCCTCTTCCCAAATTGTCCATTTTTGTGCACAATTCGAGCGTCAGTAAGGAAAACATTACTGTATTTCAGTGTATAAACGCGTCCTCGAATATATGGTCGTCATTGTAAACGTATCGAGTTCGGAGTTTCTGCAATGTTGTCGCTTACCGGGATCGAGTTGTTGCGAATAGGGGATCGTGGTCGCAACGTGCTGCGAAATCCTTCGAGAAAATGCAGTCTGCTCTTGGTGGGGCTCGAGGTCCTTGAGGATTCGTCGAAGGTGCCGGCACCGGCTCGAGATCGTTGAAGAAGCGACGTCGTGGTCGTCGCAGCTGCAGCCCCCGTTGCAGTCGCGGTCGCAGTCGTCGCCGAGGTCATTATCGCTGCTACCAGAGTTTTGGCTCCAGAGGCGGTAGCCGAACAACCGGAGATCGTCTCGTTCTTTCCATCCTCGCTCGATTTCGAGGCACACTGCGATATCGTCGGTGAAACCGTCGAAAGAACGCTTCCTCGACACGGAGATTCTGGGCTCGCGCCACGACTGTACGCCAGCAAATTATAAATGAAATTTAAACACGGTACTGCATCCATGGACAAGCGTGCCTTTTCACGTTTAACGCGGTTTCACACGGTAATTCGTTCCTGGCTCGACTCAACGCTCAGATTATGTCGTTACTCTTTTTTTTTTCTTTTTTAGACTATTTTTCACATCGTTTCTAATCCCTGATCGCAACACGTAGTTCGATCGATGCTTTCGAAAAATCTTATCGGTAGTCGTTTCCTACTTGTTTACAACCGTTTACAAGTTAACGGACTCGATTCGACTTATAACACGATAAACAGCCTCTGCGATGCGAGACGATGTTAACGGAGGACCGCGCTTTGGATAAGCGTGCAGTTTCTTAAAGGGTTAGACGTGTGAGCGGAGAACAACGTGAGAGAACACCAGTTACCGAACAAGCCCGATGCCCCATTTAGCCACACTACTACGTTGTGTTAGTTTATTGGGAAAACATTTGTGCGGAAGGTCGACGTCGAACCTGTGGTTTTGTCTGACCGCAAACGATCGACGCAGTACCGTGTTTTTTTTTTTTTTTTTTTGATAAACGATAAGAGAAACAAGCTGTTAGTTCGAACGGAAGGTAAGTAAGAATTTGTTAGAATGGGCGTGGGAGAAGGACGCATCACACTCCAGAAATGTTGATCAATGTACAATTTATTCTAAACAAAATGGTTTACGGTCTCGCGGAATCATTAGTCTTAGTTTTTATGTCGTCTCTCGTGAATGCACATCTATGTACAGCATACTATCCCCAAACTCCTTCCTTCCACCTTGTATTATATAAACATTATTAAAAGTATTATACACTTGCAACGTTAAGTTGTTAATAGGTAATGTATGTTCCTGTTGGGGGGTGGAATAGCACCTGAACTATAATACCCGGGCGTGTCTCGTGTGTACCTCTCGATATTTTCTTTTTTTTTTTCTTTTTGGTTGTTGCACGCGTTTATTAACGATACAAGTTAAGCACAATACGTATGCTATTAATATTATAATTGTGTTCCTCTATTCTTAATATATTATACATTCTCGTTAAACGGAGAAAAACTGTTAACAAATGAGTGGCGGTTTCTTCTAGCAAAAGTATGAATTTTGACATAGTGTTCGTTGTACTCAGCTATTTAAACGATTCTTTCTTTCTTTCTTTCTTCTTTCTTTCTCTTTTCTTTTCTTTTCTGTTTTTTTTCTTTTTAATCAAACTTTTCAAGCGAGGTCACCGTATTACCCCACCCCTCATCGACGCGCGATTCCACGCACATACAAATACACGAACATACACAGCACGCATTCGTACACGCACGCACGCTCGCACGCACGCGTAAAATACATGCAGACTCACGGCACAGATACATGACGCACGTATACGGAAACATGCAGCAGACACGCACTTCTATTTCTTGATCTCTTTTTTGCCTCCAAATACGACATACGAGTAAAGGAGTAGTGTGTAACATGTGTATGTGTGTGTGTGTGTGTGTGTTAAGGTGTAGGCGTGTGCGCGTGTTTTCGTGTATGTAACGAGTTGTGTGTCCTCTGTGCGCAGGAGCGGATGTGTGGGTATAGGTATAAGTGTGTGGCTATGTGTGAAGAGAGGGGTGTAATTCGTGTAACAGTGAATATACATTGTTATACCTACCCCCACCTGCACAGGTGTGCGAACATATAGTCGAGGAATAACGGAGTCCTTATAGAGTTTGCATCGGGTTGCATCTTATCGCGTGACATCGCATTGCATCGTATCGCACAGCATCGTATCGCATCCGTAAGTATAGCATACGGTCTCGTCTGGCACCGTGTCATGTCGTATCGTATCGTGTCGTATAGTTAAAATAGTAATGGTATCGTTACTGTAGCGTTTTGTCTGTTAATAATCGTATGATAAACTACATATATTGCATAGTAATGTAAATGATCGGTGTTTTCGGGTGAACCGTAGCAAGCCCGGTCGAAGGAACGTCTATAAAACGACTCGAAAAAGGAGGTAGGTACATTAGGTAGCCAGTGAGTGTATAGTGAAAGACGCTCTCGCGTTAAAGCCACTCCACAGCAACAGCGAGGTAGAGATTCTCAGACTGCGATGTTAAGGCAAACAAGAGGAAGCACTTCGCACAATATGGTGGAGAGATAGAGAGACAGAGTCGAGAGGAAGAGAGACAGAGAGAAAGAGAGAGAGAGAGAGAGAAAGAGATATAAGAGAGTAATGTACGTATAGCGTGATCAGAGAATAGATCCTGGTAGAGGTGAATAGAACGAGAAACGAAAAGGAAAAACAGAGAAACGAACGGGCTAGTATCTTTCAGGAGACGACTACGGTTCTCTAGCGTTACAGCGCAGTTCTCTGTATCTTTTTTCATATATATATATATATAGATATATATATAAAATATACAAAAATATGTCGGAACGAATCTTCACAGGTCGAGCGTTGAAAGAGAGTCAATGCAATGTTGTGTGAATTAGATAGAGAGACGCTTACAGTGGATCTTTGGTAAGTTCCTTTTGGTAGGCAATCGGCGACTGTATCGCCTTCAGAAAGTCACGTTGGGTCTGCAGGATGGCAGTGATCGTTTCTACCCATTCCTGCTTCCGTGGCCCGGTTTCTTCGAGGGCGCTGCAAAAGAATCTGAGGCCAGGTTTCCTGGGGTCTGTCGACCGGATCTCGAACTTCTCCGGATCGTCGTAACATTTCTCCAGACTCATTTTATTCACCTGCCGATCAGACAATGCGAAAACGCGATGTTCTTAAACAACTTTCAGCAATCCCGTCGTACGATTCTATTGTATAAACGATGCAAGATATCGAATGGAGAATATCGACGAATACACGAGAAACGCCTTCTCACCTGGATATGAGCTTTGTAAATGTAGGCGGGATTCGTGAACTGCGTCTTTTTTCCGACAGCTTCACTGAAAATGATGTTTTGCTCGAAGAGAAACACATGCCATTCCCTTCCTCTGCTCGACAGATTCGACAATTCCGATACCAAGAGCGGACCGTGCAGCAACAATTTGCCCTGCGCGGTAATTTTTCCCTGAAAGCAACACCGGAACAGGTGATCACCGGATTTCGGACAAAGATCGACAACAACAACTATGACACAGGTTCGCTTACGTCGAATCCTTGCAGCCTTCCGACATCCATCATGTCGTTGGCTGCTTTCGGAATAACGCGCATCACGTGCACTGCGGCCCTCAAACCCTCGATTTCCGAGGTTCTTCTGGTCCGTTCTGTGATCCTTAGCACTTCTCTGAGCAGAAGTTGGTACTTGGTGATTCTCTGCACGGGCTTGATCAGGAGATCGCACAGTTGCAACCGATGTCCGAGTTTCTGTCGCAGATCCTGCGGCCAAACCAATTGCGATTATTAAACCGGAGAAAGGCGAAGCCCGGGAGAGAAGCTCGACGAAAATGTGTACCTCGAAGTAAGTGTCGATATACTCGGAGACAATGTACTCGGATACTGGTTTGTTTTGACAATAAACGACGTACATATGTAACTTCCTCTCGTATCTCTTGAAAAGCGGACCAAGCTCTTCCGGCCGTTCCAAGCAACGTTCCAACGCTTTCAGGAAGAAACTGTTCCAGCGAAACAACGAATTAGGTACAGAGAATGATTCGATTAAGCTTATTGTTAACATAGGAAAAGTTTCAAAAGAGAACTCACTCTCTGTGCCACTCGTAGATCGCTTCTATATTGCCAAATACCATTTTATCCTTTCCACCGCGCAAATCCTCCGGCAACGGAACCTCGCATTCGGGATTCCGCATTAACGCCATGTAGCCCTCGACTATCTGCCCGAGATCGTTCACGTAATCGTTCTCCGTTTCCACTAATTCCCGAACAACGAACTGTCGCTTCGTTAGAATGGTGCTTTCAGCATCGGACTCCTCCGTAGAAATATAAGGCGGGTTGCTGGTTGTCGCTGTCGCTGTCGCCGTTGCCATCGCTGTAGCCGTTGCCGTCGTCGCTACCATAGCAGTAACGCCTTCCGTTGTCGTCATAGAACCTTCGTTATAGACATCCTCGTCACTAGCCGCAGCAACGCTCGTGCTTTTACCGCTGGGCGTTCGCAGAAGACTCTGCCTCTCCTGGTTTTCCGTGTGCTGTTCCTATTAACATGGTTAATACGCGTTAACAATCAACGTCGAAAAAAATATGAAATCAGTTCAGTCGAACGAAACTTACCATTCTTTCTTTTACGATCTGCTCGATCTCGGCTAAATCGACTGTCGTAGCACCGTCTAGGATTTTCGCGGACCGCTCCGAAGCCTGCGAACGAACACACGAGTCAATTTATTTGGAAGTGCATTGACAAAGTGTTATTACGTACAGTAATGTCTCCCTAATTGACGCTCAGATTGTGCACAAAAATGGACACTTTGGGAAGAGGAGATACGATTATTCGAGCCTTGCAGCTCGTTTGTATAGTTGTTGACAATCGATGACCATAAAAAACGAGCCACAAGGCTCGGACAATCGCATCTCCTCTTCCAAAATTCACCATTTTTGTGGTGAATTTTGCGCGTCGCTTGTTCCCGTCAACGCGAGTTTTACCCCTTTTCCCAACCACTATGTATGTACAGTAATGTCTTCCTAATTGACGCTCAGATTGTGCACAAAAATGGACACTTTAGGAAGAGGAGATACGATTATTCGAGCCTTGCAGCTCGTTTGTACAGTTGTTGACAATCGATGACCATAAAAAACGAGCCACAAAGCTCGGACAATCGTATCTCCACTTCCCAAATTGTCCATTTTCGTGAGCGTCCAATCTGAGCGTCGATTAGAGAGACATTACTGTATTGCGGATGTTTATCCTTCGCAGATTACGCCAAGATTATATTGATTGGTACCTATTTTGTGCAACGAATGCAAGGAAGAGAATATGACACGCCTGAGAAGTTGAAAAGAAAGAATCGATTCTCACCCGTGATTTTCCACAAGTTTCCGTGGGAATGGCGGTTCCGGATGCTCCGTTGGCGGTTCCCACGAGAATCGGGTCGGTGATGGGTTTCATGGGCGGCGGAAGTTCCAGATCGTCCTCGACGTCGTCCGCCCCGTTTTGCTCGGAGTAAGTCAAAGCCTCCGCGTCGTCGGGTTCCGGCACGTCTTTCTCTAATTCGGAAGTCTGTTCGATCTCTCCTTCTTCCTCCTCTTCGACGTCGATCTCGACTTGAATGTCGGCGTCGAGATCCGCCACGTCGGACGCTGCGGCGGATACGTGCGTGGATGTCGACGCCAAAGTAGAAATGGATATTGGGGCGGCGGACCTCGATACTCGTGTTTGCTCCGCACCGCTGGGCAATTTGAATCGCTTTTCCGAAACGTGCTTCTTCAGCGCGGAACGATCGGCGGACGCCAGCCCGGTCGATGCGGACGCCGGCGTCGGCGTCGGTGTTGTTGTTGCTGTCGCCGCCGCGTTCGTTGATTTCTCAACTTTAGCTTGGCTGAGCTTACGCAACGGCGGAGGTAGCCACTTGCGTCTGTGCACGATCAAGAGAATTATAAATTTTCCCTCTGGCAGTTTGGTTATTTAAATTGAACTTAAATTGTACGTCCACACACACACACAGTCTTTTTCGGATCGCCGAAGCTCACTATACTCACCCGCTGAAAACGCGTCTCTTGTTCCCAGGAGAGCTCGTGTTCGCCGTACCGCTTCCATCGCTCGCGATGCTTTCTGGAATAGATAAACAAAAAATTCTTCATTGCCCGATCTACGCAGGAAATTTCTCCGGCGATAACGCAATCTGCTTTTCAGAAGTTCTAGCCTCATTGATGAATCATTTGTTCGAAGAAGCTGCTAACAACCGACCTGCATATTACACTTTGGAATTTTCCAACCGACTTCAATGACTGTCTAGAATACAGTCGAACTTGATCCGGATTTGTTTCGATTACCTAACTTACGGAGAATAATTAAAAGCTATTCTATCAGGTGGAAGATCGAGTCTGACATAAATATCTTTAAAAAATTAACAAAACAGAGAGCCTAAATGTGTCCTTCTCATCGTTGCTAATTACGGAGAATAATTAAAAGCTATTCTATCAGGTGGAAGATCGAGTCTGACATAAATATCTTTAAAAAATTAACAAAAAGAAAAAGAGCTTAAACGTGTCCTTCTCATCGTTGCTAATTACAGAGAATAATTAAAAGCTATTCTATCAGGTGGAAGATCGAGTCTGCCATAAATATCTTTAAAAAAATTAACAAAAAGAAAAAGAGCCTAAACGTGTCCGTCTCATCGTTGCTAATTATGCAGTTGTCGGAAACAATTCGTTTGCGTGGATCGATCTCGAGAAACAAAGAGAAAGCAAGAAGGAGAAACGTACATATTTCGTCCGTCGTTCGTAATAGAAATCACGGCATTACGTCTTGCGGTTGCCAACAAGTTAATGTGACACAATTTTAGAAAAGGTTATCGACCATCGATGCGGAGTACGTCGATTACGCCGAATATGTAACACCTTGCTCCACTGGTACGCCAATCGGAGACTCACCGGTCAAGGACATAGTTATCCCGGTACGTACATCGTCGTATTGATCCGATACGGCTGCGTCGGAGCGCGCGTACCATAAACGTTCTCAAATATATAACCGTATTTTGACAACGATCTACCGGTCGTCCGTATAATATAACATAATATCCCGTCGCATTACGCAGTATTATATACATCGATGCAAATATACAGTGCCTACGGTAACGTGTACCAATCTACTCGCACGAGATTCTTCGAGCTCGAACTTTACTGCGGCAACTTTATTCGGTACCGTGTCCTACATCGTAATCTACTTTATTCGGCTTTCGTGCAGCGTTACTTTACATTACACGGTTCACTTTCGGATGCTGCACCATCCGACGATGGAGATCCGCTGCTTCGATCGATCTATCTCGATTACTTGCACAGTTTACCGTTTCTCTGCTAAATATCCTCCTCTATTTATTCAGCACGCGATTCAAAAAAATAGGTCAGTAAAATTCGTCGGGCATCGACCAGTCCTCTAAACGAGGTAGAAACGAAGGACGCGTCAAAATGGCTAAACCTATCGCAGTCTTCGGACCTTTCTCGACGCGATCGCATTTTTCATTCTTCAAAGACTATCTTGATCGCACTTAATATTCCTCTATACTTTTATTCTCTCCATTCCCTGACTATATTCGACGAAGTTATAAAAATATTATCGACACACGGATTCCCCTGACAGACTTTCAAGTGTACAATTCTCCTGGAGAACGCGCGTCAGAGCTTTACATTCCGCGATTCTACGCGTTCAAGCGAATTATTTTCTCCACGCGGTGCCTGGTCTCTGGTCAAAGCGCGACACTCCTGTAACCTCCTGTACGGCCCTCGTGTTTCTTCGACTCTAGTTCCACGTAAGAATAGCGCAACCGTACTGACCTGCGTCGTCCGGTAGCGTGGCAGCGACCACGCTCTGGGGGTTCAATCCAGCGGACGATACGCCGGTGGTGACCGCAGCCGCTGCCGCGGCCGCAGCGACCGCCGCCGCGGTCGACGACGAAGTGGACGATGAGAATGAGGACGAGGACGTTAAGCCGATGGCAGAGGACGACGAGACGGGCGTCGTGAGCCCGCCGGAACTCGAGCTGGTCTGGCTCTGATTGCTTGGCTGGTGGTGCTGCTGGTGGTGATGATGCTGGTGCTGGTGTTGCTGGCTCGGAGTCTTTCTAGATGGCGATGTCTTATTGGAAGCTGGCGGTGGTTGTTTCAGCGCGCTCGTCGGCACCAATCCCTCTGGTGGAGGATCGACCTGTCCTTGCGCAACCAGTAGACGCACGTGGGTCCACTCGGCCGCGTTCACGCCGCCGATGTTGCTCCCGTTTTCCAATACCTCGACTTGCTGACCTTTGGTCACCGTCAGCTCCCTCGAGCCAGGTGCCGCCGAGTGATCCGCGATAACCCAAGTCAGTTCGGTCACGCCGGTCTAGAATCATTCATCGGGAAACGATCAAAACAAATGCTTCCTCTCCCCTTCGACGTTCGTTCGAACTATTCTGCGAACGGCAGGAGGATCCAATCGATTCGTCGTCGTCGTCGGCTTTTTTAATCGTTGCCACCGGAACTCCGAATTCCATCGAATCGCGAAACTTCGAACTTGGTGAACGCTGTGAAAGATCCGTAGCGATCTGAACGGGAGAGAACGTGAACACGGGAACCCGGTGACACGAGTTGAAATTGGAGTTGAGCAAGTGGAAAGTTGAAGGGAGGCCGGGACGACGAGCGCGGATTGACAAAATGCCGAGCAGCACCGATTATCTATGACTTTGCGGACCGATGGAGCGTTTAATGGATTACCGATGCTCCGGTGATTTCGATTTTATCGAAATAGCTTGTCTTCTCGGGTGGCGCACAGTCCGCGCACAGTTCCCTAACGGTATAACAGCAGCTAAGAACAGGCCGGTGTTTTCCGTCGAGCGTACTACGGGAAGCGAACGAACGAACGAAAGCCAGAGAGGCATGAACGGAGCGCGCCGTCTCCCCTTCTCGCCCCGTTTTATCGCGACTCGATACTATTTACCTTTTGCCATTATATCGCGGGAAAAGATTCGTGCGCGATAACCGCACGGTTATAACGCATCGCCGGTGATACACGGCGACGTAATCGTCGGGACGTATCGAAATGTAACAGCACACGCGTTTGATCGCGATTTCCGTAGGAAACGAACGCTTGGAGCACGTCACCTTCGAGGAGCTCCGACGACACGAGGGTCGGTGGTCCTTCCGAAATGGGGTCGTTATGCGGTTAGAACGATCGACGGAGGATCGAAGAACGCTCGAGAGTTTCCGATCGAATGTCGGAGGGGCTGTTGGACGCGTCGAGGATCCACGCCGTGACGATGTGCTTTTACGTACGATCGCGGCACGATAAACGGCCGAGAAGTCAAAACAGTTAGAAGAAGCTAACTGGTTGGTCCCGCGTCGCGCATTCCGCCGACGAAAATAGACTTTTTCCACGTGCCAAATTTTGCCGATTCTACTCGAATCTGGCTCCGTGCTCCCGATACGTGTTTTATCGGGCGAAAACATCCCGATCGAAGAATCGGAAGCGGAATCGTTTGCCGAACGGAGAGCAAGCACCGATTCACGATCAGTGAACTGCGGCCGCGTCCGGGTGCCTCGAGGGTGCTCCGTCCGAGGGTCTGCGGAACTAAGCTTGCACCGCGTATCGGCGGATGCCGCGCGCATTCGTGTTCAAAGTTCGATCAAAAGATTCTAAACTCGAGAGAGAGAGAGAGAGAGAGAGAGAGAGAGAGAGAGAGAGCAGAGGCCAATAATATCTGCGCTTGGCGTCGATCGCTGGGCGCCTTGCTTCGCCTCCGAACGTCAGATTCCAAAGAAAACCGGAACACTCGACGCACCAGGAACACGGGATTTTCCCATTTAATCCCGTCGGTATCGCGACGACTACGCGGGGGACACCTCGGAGGAATCGCTGTACACATCTCCGCGTGCGGAACTTTCGCTTCGTGGCTCCGCAGCTTTTTCTCCGTGAAAATTCGAATCGGCAGAGAGAAAGAGAGAGAGCGTCTCGATGGCGGATCGTGCGCGGAGAACGATCGCAGGCCAAACGGGGGTGGTAGCGGCATCGTCTTGAGCGGCAAATCGCGTGAAACAAGGCCGAATAAGGACAGCCTCGAAGGAGGATGAATCTACAAAACCACGGTTGCGGCCACCGCGATGCAGCGGTAGCGGATGTGGACGACGAGAACGTAGAACACGTTAGCCTGATTCGTGGAACAACGGCGGTGTCGAGAGAGAGAGAAAAAAAGAAACGCTTCGATTACGTAACTTTATTAACGTAGAAAAATACGCCGATCGGTGGGGTTGAGATCGTCGGCCGATAGAGATCGTTCGAGTTTGCACGAAGCATTTCCCTTTTGCAAACGAGCCGAATAAGGGCACACGGCGAGGGGGTAAGAAACGTTTTTTAGAAACGCCAGAGGGGACGAGGGAAGAAAGAGAGAAAATTGATCGCCGCAGCTTTCCTTAAAGGCTTGGGAAAATTCGTTGGTGCGAGCCGAGAGAAGCCGTTCTCCGCAGAGAGTTCAGGAGGAGGAGGAAAGATCGCGGGATCGCGGGAGAAAACGCGATGCCAGCAACGCGGATACGTGGTTCGCGGCACAAGGCAAACACGGCAAGTACTCGAGTACCTGGGACAGAGAGGTTTGACGGTGCAAACGTCGGGCCTGGAACGAGCCCGGAGTGTCGATGGTGTGCTGCCTCGAGAGGGCCGCGTGCGGTGGAGCTACGGAACTCTGCCGGAACCAGGGTAACGAGATCTTCCTGCGGGCTTTCTGGACCATCGTTGCAGGCTTTCCTGGCGACGTCATGACAGTTTCGCCTCGTGTTCAGAGTTCACGTGTAGAGATACGAAGGGCGAGCGTGAACGGCGAAAGACGGAACAACCGAGGGTGTCGTCGCGCGTACGGCCGACGACATTGCTTCCGGTTAACCGTTCCTCCCGCGAACGAACGACAAAAAATGTAACCCGATTTCGACGAGAGATCGGTCGGTGTCGCCTTACTCACCGTCGAGCAGACGAGCCATTCGACCCGAGTGTCGCGCCCGTACTGAGCCTGTTACCTATCAGCCTCCTTCTCTGTCCCGCCGATCTATTTCTCACCCTTCGCCCCTTACCCCTTCCGTCCGACCCCCGGTTTCCGCGTCTCTTTTCTTCCTTGATAGCCCACGTCTCTCCCCTGTACCGTATACAAGCCCCGTTCCCGACGCGCTTGCTCACTTNTCAAAGTTCGATCAAAAGATTCTAAACTCGAGAGAGAGAGAGAGAGAGAGAGAGAGAGAGAGAGAGAGAGCAGAGGCCAATAATATCTGCGCTTGGCGTCGATCGCTGGGCGCCTTGCTTCGCCTCCGAACGTCAGATTCCAAAGAAAACCGGAACACTCGACGCACCAGGAACACGGGATTTTCCCATTTAATCCCGTCGGTATCGCGACGACTACGCGGGGGACACCTCGGAGGAATCGCTGTACACATCTCCGCGTGCGGAACTTTCGCTTCGTGGCTCCGCAGCTTTTTCTCCGTGAAAATTCGAATCGGCAGAGAGAAAGAGAGAGAGCGTCTCGATGGCGGATCGTGCGCGGAGAACGATCGCAGGCCAAACGGGGGTGGTAGCGGCATCGTCTTGAGCGGCAAATCGCGTGAAACAAGGCCGAATAAGGACAGCCTCGAAGGAGGATGAATCTACAAAACCACGGTTGCGGCCACCGCGATGCAGCGGTAGCGGATGTGGACGACGAGAACGTAGAACACGTTAGCCTGATTCGTGGAACAACGGCGGTGTCGAGAGAGAGAGAAAAAAAGAAACGCTTCGATTACGTAACTTTATTAACGTAGAAAAATACGCCGATCGGTGGGGTTGAGATCGTCGGCCGATAGAGATCGTTCGAGTTTGCACGAAGCATTTCCCTTTTGCAAACGAGCCGAATAAGGGCACACGGCGAGGGGGTAAGAAACGTTTTTTAGAAACGCCAGAGGGGACGAGGGAAGAAAGAGAGAAAATTGATCGCCGCAGCTTTCCTTAAAGGCTTGGGAAAATTCGTTGGTGCGAGCCGAGAGAAGCCGTTCTCCGCAGAGAGTTCAGGAGGAGGAGGAAAGATCGCGGGATCGCGGGAGAAAACGCGATGCCAGCAACGCGGATACGTGGTTCGCGGCACAAGGCAAACACGGCAAGTACTCGAGTACCTGGGACAGAGAGGTTTGACGGTGCAAACGTCGGGCCTGGAACGAGCCCGGAGTGTCGATGGTGTGCTGCCTCGAGAGGGCCGCGTGCGGTGGAGCTACGGAACTCTGCCGGAACCAGGGTAACGAGATCTTCCTGCGGGCTTTCTGGACCATCGTTGCAGGCTTTCCTGGCGACGTCATGACAGTTTCGCCTCGTGTTCAGAGTTCACGTGTAGAGATACGAAGGGCGAGCGTGAACGGCGAAAGACGGAACAACCGAGGGTGTCGTCGCGCGTACGGCCGACGACATTGCTTCCGGTTAACCGTTCCTCCCGCGAACGAACGACAAAAAATGTAACCCGATTTCGACGAGAGATCGGTCGGTGTCGCCTTACTCACCGTCGAGCAGACGAGCCATTCGACCCGAGTGTCGCGCCCGTACTGAGCCTGTTACCTATCAGCCTCCTTCTCTGTCCCGCCGATCTATTTCTCACCCTTCGCCCCTTACCCCTTCCGTCCGACCCCCGGTTTCCGCGTCTCTTTTCTTCCTTGATAGCCCACGTCTCTCCCCTGTACCGTATACAAGCCCCGTTCCCGACGCGCTTGCTCACTTTTCGATTATTCCCGAACCCCACCCAAAACTGCTCTTGCTCGCTCGCTCGCTCGCGCTCGCCTCGCCTCGCTCGCCTCGCTTGCTGGTTGGATGACCGAATGCCCGGTTGGATGATTACTACTAGACCACCCGAGTCATTCATCCAAAGTGGACGCAACGGAGCAACCGGCACACCACTCGTTTCTACTATCCATTATCGAGCTAGCCATTAGCAGAATAGTTGAACGAATTCGAAGAGGTAACACGTTCGGCCCTTCCACGAGCAAACGCTGATATTCGGACAGATTTGTACGTAGCAGACTACTTCGCTTTTGAAGAAAAAGAAAAAACAACCGAATTTAAGTAGTCGAGCCCGCGCTCTAGTAGATACGGTTCGTCATGCACGGACAAAGCCTATTGAACGCGTGCGCGCGACTTTGTCAACTGTTACCGGCTGTATTGTTTTGTTACGATGCTATACAATAGTGCTTTACACCTGTGTTACGGTCTATTGAATTCTCGAGTGATTTATTGCTGTTGCAGTCGTCGTATCAATTACGCTACGCGATATCGAGTGTACTCGATACTAATTCTGTTTTTATTCGATTCGAGCATTGGCTTAGAACCAGGTTTAAGAATCCTTGACTCGATCGTTTGCGGGATGCGTCTGATAAGAATTTTCAAGCAGAAACTGCGATCGTGTTTTTATTGCCAACCTGGCCCATTTTGCCAGATTCGTCGGAGCTGTCGATATTCTATTTACACACAGTGTACGGTGTTCATGGTACAACTGGGAAGAGTATGATTCTATGTAGAAAAGTAAATCAGAACGTGGCAGTCGGCATCTCCCTGATTGTAGCATGGATCCCCGGTAAATGTGGAGTGGAAATAGGATGGCTTACCTTGTCAGAGTCCGTGGTGTTGGTGGATCCAAAGGACGCCAGGGAGTTTCTATCCAGATTCTCGACGCTGTCGTCCAAAGAAGCACACTCCTCGAGGTCTCTGCTCGAACGCTGACTCGAACTCTTCTTGGCGGGACTCTTGGGCATGCTTAAACTGAAATACGTTTCTTGAATAACCTCGCGTAATCTCTTCACCCACAACTGCTTGGCGTCCATCGAATTCGCACGGAGGACGACGCGCGTATCGCTGGTCGGCGCTCGACCCGTCCAAACCGCGAACTTGCACTCGTCGCCCTCGATATGCTCGGTTACGCCCAGTTCAGAGGTCATCAGACGGCTCTTGTAAATATATTTCACCTGAAACGATAAAACGATCGTTTGCTCTCGCACGGGTTCTTACAATTTTTCCTCTCTTTTCGTTCGGTACCCACCTTCCCGGCGGAATCTTTCACTTCTTTGCTGAACAGCAGGTACAACTCGAAGAGGAATATGTGCCGATCCCTGCCTTTTCTGATCAATTGCTTCGGATCCCATACGGTGAACGAGTCTTGCAGCACTACATCGCCGAGGGTGTCTATTCTTACGTCGCATCCTTCCAGCATGCTCAAATGTAAGGCATCGTTTGCTTTCTTAGGCACATTTAACATCACTTCCAAGCCGTCTTTTATCTCGCCTTGTCCCTCTTGGCAGCAAGCCTGACAGTCGGAGAAACGAAAAGAAAATGGGAAATTTCAACGGAATAGAAGAAATAAGGGAGAGAAACATCGCGTGGCCACGTATTTGTGTTACGGCGACGCGTGCGAGCGCACGTGTATTATGAATATGCGCCAGAAAATAGCACGAGAAAGCGAAGCCAGGTGGAAACGCTATATCGATTTATTGGCCGTAATAACAGATACCTACGTACCTGGAGATCTTTGAGGAGCAGCTGATACTTTGTGATTCTTTGCACGGGTTTGATTAGGTACGCGGCGATCGGGTGCTCGACTCGGTGCTTTCTTTGCAGTTCTTCGAACCATGTGCCGCCGTGAGCGACCAGAAACTGGTTGCTCTCCGGTTTATTTTTACAGTATGTCACGTACATGTCGAACTTGGGCGCCTACGCGAAACACCAAGTAAGGGATAAAAGTTTCAAACGAGAATTCCAATTGATACCATCAGAATCGCGGTACCAACCCAAGTGACGAAACAATGTCCGACGTCCTCCGGCATGGTCTCGTATTTTTCCAATTCCCGGAGAAATATATTGCTATGAAACTGATGGATCTCCTCCATATTGCTAAAGATGATCGATTCCCGACCCTGCAGTCCGACCGGAACGTTTCCCTTGGCGCATCGGGTTTCCTCCAAAAAGCAACGAATACAGGTTTCCAGATCTTTCACGTAAGTGCGTTCCGTTTGAAGCAGCTCCGCCATTATAAATCTGTCGAGGCCGAAAAGAAAATCCATAAGATTCAACATCTTATACAAGAGTCATCACAGGATTAGAAGAAACATACTCTTTTCGCCGTGCCGATCGCCTCTTTTCCTCGTTCAATTCTTTGAGGTCCTTCCCCTTGATTTTCTCCTCGAGCAAAGGATCAGAATTGCGATCGATGGACAGATCTTTCTGACCATCGTCGGATTGAATGCCTAGGTCGTCTTCGATCTGCGTCTTGTAGCAATCCATACGCGTGCTAAAGTCCTTGTACCGTTGATCGACTTCGGCAACAGACTGCTTGATTGCTGCCGCATGAGCGTGACCCTTTTCGACCAAATTATCAGCAAGCTGTATCAACAGCTTGACCCGTTCTCTCGTTTCCTGTGCGCAACAAGAATCCAAGAATCGAACCAGAGTTCAAGAAGAAAACAACAACGTCTCTTACCTTAGCAGCTCCCTTAAACTCGTTGTGCTCGCGCAACAGTTGCTCGTTTTCGATACGATTTTTACCAACGTTGGTATGAGTGGCTAAATACAATTCGCCGGTTTCACGAATCCATTCTAGGGCTTGTTTAGCGCTACGCTCGAAAAGAACGTACTGATGACACTGATCCAGTCGTTTCTTGCGTTGTGTCCAGTATTCGAGGACTCGGTTCTCCTTACTGAGTAATTCTTCCAAAATACCTAAGCAAAACGGTCCTGCATGAGATTATACTAAAAAAATATAAACATAACAAGAAATAGCGTGAAACTAACTTTTAACTTTATTCTCGGAACCAGCGCTATTCGACTGATAGCTATAAAATTGTAGGCTACGGTTCGTATATTTGAGGAATGTTTCTGCGGTTCGCCGTACCAACGTGCACGCTTTCAAAAATGCTTCCTTCTGCTCCTGATGCTTGCCAACGAGGGTCGGAACTTGCGTGGCTTTCTCGCCAGAGGCACACCAATCTTCGTCTCTCTTATATTCACGTTCGAGACTATCTAATACGGAACGCACTTGCTCCGCGGTCTTGTAAAAATTAATACTAGCGGTCACTAATTTATGTCTCTCCTCAGCACACGTAACTAATTGTTGCCATCTCTTGGTCACATCCTCGGCGACCTCTCTTATGCTCTTCGGGTCGTAGTGATTCGCGCTGACCAGGGCATCCGCTCTATGTTTCACCTGCAAAACATTACTATGTAATCCCTATGTATATCCTAATAAGAAACAAAATGATTTCTCTTTACTTGAACAGCCGAGGTATGCGTCTTTTCTATAGCAACTTGGAACTGCTCGTGTTCCAAACGAAGCTGCTCAGCGTCCTGCAGATTCTCCGGAACTCTCAACGACGCCAACAGCATCGCTTCTCCGTTACGAATCCAATTGGCTACGTGAGTGGCATCCGTTTGCAATTGCACCAACTGGGAAGCTTGTTCCAAACGAACCCTTCGCATTTCCGCCAGATCTTCTGCGTCCATTTCTCTCTCGTTCAAAAACTCTAGCAATACTTGAACCCTAGACGCGGCACTGTGCTGACCATCTGCCATTATGCATACCCCGGACTGTTCCAATACCTGTGCAAAGACAAAATTTTGAATATTAAGTTCATAGGGATAGTAATCGTTTATTCGATTCTCACTTGGGCGAGTTCCTGGCCTTGTTGCAGAACCTGAAAGGCAGTGTTCTGCATATGAGCAACGCCATCGTTGTGCACACGCAACAGTTGTTCCGGTGAACCCTCTCGAGGAGGACCTTGCAGCTCTTGCGCCCACATCTCTAGCTGGCCACTCGCTTCCAAAGCATCCCTTTCGAAAACACGCAATCGCAGGCAGAGTTCGAGTCTCAGTTTTCTGGTAGCCCATAGATCTTCCAATTCTTGTCTCAAACCGGCCAGCCTGTCGAGCGCAGCTTCCACTGCAGCGATCTGTAAGACAATCCCACTTTATTGCCCGTGCTTGTTGCCTCGAAAACAAAAGAGAGGATTGCCTACCGAGCCAGTACTGTCAGGAGCATCGGTAGACTCCCGAAGTTCTCGAAGTAACGCCTCGCCCTGAACAATGGTAGACGTGCAAGCTTCCAAACAAGAGGCCCTATGCTGTGCACACTGTTCCAGCAATCTCTCTGCTGTTTCCAGATTCTCTGCCACCTCGTCTTGCTGTAGTTCTTGTCGCAATTCGTCGACCCAACCGCTTAACTGCTCAAACAAGCATATGCAAACATATGCATCGTTACGTTTCTTTTCCATAATTCGTTACGGTATTCTGATAGAAATACAACACCTCTTTCTCGTGAGTGTAAAACACAACCGCCAAATCCAACCTTCTCCTACGCTGCTCAACTCTGGCTGCGAAACTACTGACATGAGCTTCCAATTCTTGCGCAACCGTATATATTTCATCAGCGGCACATTCTCCCGTATGCGCTAATTCTTGTGCAGCAGTGAGCAACTTAGTGGCATTCGTGTATGTATTCTATAACCGAGAAGAATGAAAATTATAAGAACACTTTTCTGAATGAAGGAAAATCATCAGAGTTCGCATACCTGTGCAACGTTTTCAAAATGCTCGTGACTCTTCTGATACACTCTAGCCTTCTGAAGATTGCGACCTACTCCTGTATTCTTTCTAATGAACACCTCACCATGATTCGTTAACCAGTCCAGCACTTGCTTCACATCCTCTTGAAATAATCTGCAAGCAATCGATCCTTTACGTAATTGCAACCAAACAATCTGATAGAAGAGGAGACACTTTAGTGTACCTTAACGCGAGACGTTGATGCAGCTTCACTTTCCGAGCATGCCAGCGCGCTTCCAATGCTCTGTGATGGCCCAGTATTTGATGAATAACCGCCAAGACGTGAGACGCACCCTCGCTATAATCCGCAGCTGGATTTCCACTCATACCGGAATGTCCGTCGATGCCATGTCCGTCTTGGCTCTAAATAGAATCGAGTATTCTTAATTGATTCAGCCATTCGCGTCTGCTCAAAGCGTAAAGCGAACAATCTACTACCGCGTACCGGCAGACAGCTTCGTGAATACACGGTTCAAGCAACCGGCTCAAGCAACCGAACAAACATGCAATTCTATTATTGTTTTATCGAAGCGTGTCCACGCGATTCGTTCGCAAAATATACAAAAATAAAAAAAACAAATAAGATGAACGAGGAAAGCTGATCCGCAAAATGCAAACATGTACAATTCATGCACACACCAATGGACGTACATGTTTTCTGGCCGTATGGTCTATCCTCTGTGGTTGATTACAGACTTGCACGAGATGATCCAGTTGATAAAGAAGCTTCTTACTGGTACTATGTACCTAAACAATAGGATTACCCAAAACCGTGTTAAACATTTGCTAAGCATTTCGGTAATGTCGTCAACGTCGTTGGTACATTAATATTCGGATTCACGCGATAGAAAAAAATGAACAAAGATAGAACAACGAAAAGTTGTCCACCTCAAGGAAGACCACCGATGGGCGTGCACGCGAGCTTGACCCGTGTTTTTCTTTCGAAAGAGTTAACTCTCACCATCTACTGGCCACCCTATTTATACCAAAGCGCACGTCCACCGGTTAGAAGCTATAAAAGTAACAGTTGCTAATTGTCTCATACATAATCGATGCGAAACGTATCCGAGTTCGAACCGTGAATCGAACTCAGGCTGTGACAAACTTGCAGCATCGAGCCTAGTCCGCTCAAAAGCGCTTGATACGCGTCATATACCTGTTAAATATCATTCTCCATTACTATGAAAGGCATACGACTTCGTTCTCAGTATTTCCGTCGTCTCTTTAAATGTAAATACGTATAACGTCGTCCTCAAGTATAAACAAACAACATCAAGTCTTAGCCGCGAGTCAAGTTCATTTTCATGTCTGAATCCGAAGCGGTAATATGTACGGTCATTACGTCGTTAAAAAAAAATAAAAGAATTACCTCTGTGTAAGCTTGGCACATTGCCTCGTAAAGCGACTGATGTTGCCTTATATGAGATTCAAGAATTGGTATTTCGTTAGGTAAATTGCCAGCGTCGCAAGCTTGACTCCATCCTCCGACGCTGTCAACATACTGTTCAGCCTTATGGTGAAAGACAACGCTCAAACTGAGAACCGCCGTTCGCTCGTCCAGGCCAGCAGCAAATTCTTTCCAAGCCCGATCCAGTCGACCGGCAACGGCTCTAACGTGTCCGGCAGCGTAATGTTGCGTCTCCAGCAAACGACTGGCCATCGTTAGAATTTTATTCACATTCACGTATACGTTCATGGAACTCATAGTGAAATGCTTGTGTTCCTCCTGGAAAGTTTTGGCAAACTGATAAGACCGTCCGATCTCCACGTAATTCCCCAGAAATCTTTCTCTGTTGTGACAAATCCAATCAAACATTTTCTCGCAATCTTGTTCAAAAAGTCTCAGCTGAAAGCATTGGTCCAGTTTCATCTTCTTGATGTGCCAAACCTGCAGAAGATGCTGCTGTGCCGCGTGTACGGAATCAAGGTGCTGGATCACTAATGCTTCCAATGCTCGGCCATCAGGATCGGTACCTCCAATGGCGCCGCTCTCGATGCTGCCTCCTTCGCTGCTGGTTGTAGCCATGCCTGAAATTACAGAAAGTTACAGAAATCAACGAAAAGAGTACAGTAACATTGGCTGGGAATGAGAATATATTTACTGTTATTGAAACGTTGCAACAACCGTTGTCCGACCACCTCGATCTCCTCCACTGGAACCTTTAGGATTTTCTTCTTCATCTCATTATGCAGATCAATTCCCAGCTTAGCACCAGCCACATCGTCCGCAAAATCATTACGACTCAAGTCCTCCTGTAAGTCATCCAATCGATCGAGGAGATCAGCCGCCTGCCATGTGAAATCTTCTACCGCGAGCCTTGTATCGATCCATTGTGCATGATCGTATTGCAACGATCCATCCAAGTCCGCGGTTAATTGCGACGGATCTATCACTTTTGCAAGAGCATCTAAACTTATGGTGTTTATCTAAAATTATAGAGATCTTCATTGAATCTTCTTGTTGGTAAACGCTTATCATTCCTTTGTGAAAATCTTGCTTACCTCGAAATTATATTTCTTTTGTTTAGCCAAGGTGGTCCGCTGTTTTTGCCAGAAGTTTTCTGGTTTTATGATAAAGGCAACATGAACCGACCGATGAAAATGTTCATGCAACACCTTCAACAGACAAAAGTTGATTTTTTAATACTGATTCCCTTAAGCTTCCGTTTATAATCTTCGATGCAAATTGCTGGCATTTAGTACTCGTGTAAATTACAAATATTAAAAGAATGAACCTTCAGAATTGGCTTGACAGAATCCCAAGTAGCACCACGCATGTCCACGATAACTGTGAAACGTAGTCCCCTGGCCTCGTCGCTAGGCACAGTTAGGAGGTACTGTAGTAGGCGACGATAATCCTCTGGTTTTGCACGTTCTCGTCTAGGTGTTGTAGGAAAGACAAGCACCGGTCCGCCTCTACGATCTCGACCACCTGGCAATATGGCCAAGCGCTCCTGGAGCAAGGGTAAAACCTCGGCTGCTCTAGTTCCATCCATGTCCGTTATTTCTTTTCAACCGAGCCGTAGCTAACCGAAAACATTAGCATTATTGTCATTAAGCTGGATAAATGAGACAGTCTTCTCATTTTCAGACAGCTAAGTTAAAATATTTTGCCTGAAAAGAGTCACTAATCTCTGTGTACGTTCATTAGATTTGATACCCAATGTGAATATTTACTCACGATACAACCGACTTTAGCAAATTCTTTGGCACATAATTCTTCTATTCCATCGTTCGAAAATAATATAACAAAACCGTATACAAGGAAATTGGATAAAGTGTACGTGTTAATAGATCGTATGTCAAATCGACGATTTACTGACGTCGATAACGGCTTTCGGAAAAATTCGGTGAATCGTCCGAATTATGAAAAAAAAGAACGGTGCCTGTAAACTTGAAATAAAGCCTATCGTTATATTCATTGTAGTCGTGATCGCGCTACTTGAACCACACAACCATTACCACTGTCACAGCATCATTGTAAAAGTAGATATTATTTTTTATGCTCCCTCTGATAAACGATTCAGGGTAAGGACAACACAACGAACAAAAGTTGCTGGCTTTGTTCCACGCATGGAGAACAAATTGTCTTGTCTGGCTTTTTCGGTTTACGTATTCTCCGTAGATATACACCCGTGTAAACCACGAATTACGAATCGAAGAGCACGGGGGTTGAATTGAAATGAAAACCGTCTGGCTTACCCGTTAAAGATCAATTCGAAGAAACTTCGGACGTTCCGATTTTCTTTTCTGCACCATACACACATTCGTTCTGGTAGACGTACTACGGCTCATATCCTTTGTTCCTGAACGTGAAAACTTTTGCAGTCGCGATCAGTGCGAAACCGCAAAACTGCTATCTGCCAATGGCAGTCTGCCATGTTCGCACGGATTCGTTCGAGCAGGAACTTTTCAACGACCTCTTCGTTCGAACATCAACGCAGAAAATTGTACATGCCGATGTGAGTTGGTGTCGTATGGTGGCAGCACAAATTTTTTTAATTCTCCCAGACGAAAAGTCGAAGCCTACAAAGAGATCGCATATCCGTTTGTTAACGAAAATTTAATCGACACCGAAGAAATTTCTATTACTACATCTTATGATCAGACCTTGAATGTACGAACGTCTTGAAAGACGTTCTGGATACTTAAGAAACAATCCTTTCAAATTGTGAAGTATTGTGCATACATACATATATACAATATATATATGCGTGCATACTTGGATTGATCTACGAAGTTTAAGTGAACGATAAATTACGCATTACATTCGGCTCGATTGATGTCCGTTACATTCTACATATGCATGTACTCTCTAATCATCTGCTTTCGTTTCACGTTTACGACTCATCGATGTGATTCGACACTACGATTCAAACGATAGATGTGTTACACACATGTATTCATTAAATTACAAACGTACGTATGCACACACGCGCATCCACGATATTTGATCAGTATGTGTCCATGTGAGAGATTTCCTCGGTTTATGAATGGCCGTTATTTATAGAAATCGTTCCAAATCTGTTACATACTTCGTTTACTACACATTGACAAACAGTCGATAACGATAAATTCTGTTCAACCTGAATGGAATGTCTATCATATCGTGTACGTATGTATGCAAGTGATAAGCATATAAAATTTGCACACATATATGTCGTGTAGTGTCGGGTTTTCAAGCATTCAAGCTTTCGATTTACTTGAATGGCTTGAACCTATGTTCAAGTGAATCGTTGTACTTAATGGGCTTGTCCGCTTGGAACGTGGAATAAGTTCTCTGCCGTTCAAGCGTACGAACCAAATTGCCGGAACATAGTGGAATTGTCAAAACGTGCCGTACGATCCGTGCTTACACCATTCAAGTACAATATTCTTAACCTTTTAGATATGTACTTGATCATTTCTGGACAGTTTTTCGTATGTTCAATTTCGTTCCGCCTGGTTCCGCCTCGTTCAAGATTTAAATTGATTCACAAATTGTGAATCCCAATGAAACTTCAAACGAACGATTCACCTGAATATAGGTTCACACCATTTAAGTAAATTGTAGTTTTGAAAGCGCTTGGTGCTTGTATGCAAACTCTATATGTATGTATGCACTTATACGAATATGTATGTATGTATGTACTTACAGTATTTTCTTCGTGGAATTGTATACGTCGGTAACCACAACGCGACGCTAGAGAAAGGGATAAAAAGTTTCTCTTCGCTCCGATTGGCTGGCGATTCGCCATTCCGATAGTGCTGCCCTTGCTTCTTTTTCCCTTGAAAACTGCGCCCTCTCGAATACGCAATACATACGCAGAATGAAGGGGATAGAAAACGTGACCGTATGATATTAGCTAGACTCGAGTAGAGATGTTGGTAGAGAATATATAATATATAGTGCATTTGAGTACATACGGTTATTGATGCACCTAACCTTTTCATTAAAATCTAACATTCTAAGTGGATACTGTACGATATTTTGACAGAAAAAGTGTCAATGATTACTCGTCCATATTTTGTAATATTCATTTAGAATTATTAAACTATGGCAACAAGGTTGTTCCGAATTTTTTCAAATGATTTTCCACCGCCTTCGAGAATTTGTATCGTACAAATTCGACATGGACATCATCTACGAGGAAAACCGCCGACGATTGCTCGCAACTTAGAACAACGGCTTGCGAGTAAGAAAAACTAATAATAATAATCATCATAATATAATCACTGTATAAATTATGTTCTAATAATTTTTCTTTCAGTTCTTAACAAAACGGACCCAACAGTATCATTTAAAGTAAATATTGGTTTCTCCGTTCCGAAAGTGCCGAAAGATTTAATAGAAACTTGGCTGGCTGAGAAAAAATCTGTGGCAGCAGATCCAGAAATGGAGAAGCAAGCAAGGAATAAATTATGTAAGTCGAACTTTTTCCTCTAGGTTTTTTTATTGTTAAATCTAAAATGACAAAATTATTTTTGTTTTTTATAGTATATGTTGATCTGGACGTAGTAAAAGAAATATGGCAAAAAATATCTGCTCCTAATGCCATACATAAAATCGCAGAGCATTATGGAATTTTCCAAGATTTGTTCGGGGATGCATATTTCAAACCTGTTTTACCCTTAGAGATTGACTATAAAATTGAAGGTGATACATTTGTCAGAGCTCATACAGGAAATGTTATAAAACCTAGTGAAGCACACAAATCCCCAAATGTTAGTTATTCGGCGAACGAAGGAACTCTATGGACTTTGATCATGAGTACACCTGATGGCAACTTACAGAATTCAGAAGACGAGTATTGTCATTGGTTTATGTGAGTATACAATTAAATTATCTGAATATAAACAGTTGTAGGTGATTTACAATAGAGAATTGATGGTCCTAATGGTATTCACAGAGGAAACATTCCTGGGAATAAAGTGGAGCAAGGAGAACAAATAATGGATTACATGAAACCCATCCCATCAAGAGGAATTGGATATTATCGTTACATATTTCTGCTTTACAAGCAAAACAAGCATTTAAACTATGCAGAATATAAAAAGGCTCAACCATGGTAAATAATGAATTTTTAAGAAAAACTTGCCACATATTCGACACTTGATGTACAACAATACATTACATTTTATTTGTATAGTTTACAGTTGAAAGAACGCAATTGGAATACGCTAACATTTTACCAAAAACATCAGGACGATCTTACACCCGCGGGTTTAGCATTTTTCCAGAGTGATTGGGATCATACAGTAACAGAATTTTATCATTCGTCGTTAGGTGTGTATATTTGGTGGAATTTCCTTGATTAAATGAAATTATAGTTATTCATGAACGAATCTAAGACCCGTTGTAATTCTTTTTTCATAGACGCGGAGGAACCAATATTTGAGTACGACTTCCCGAAACCATACGTCACACCACAGAAATGGTTCCCACTGAAACAACCATTCGATCTTTATTTGGATCATTACAGGGATCCCAAAGAAACTATGAAACACTTCCTATTGAGAAAGTTGAAAAATGTTCATCCTTTCAGAGAACCAAAACCACCTTTGAAGTATCCAAATGCTATCGCTTTCGAGAAGGATGTACCTTCGTGGTTGAAACTAAGAATGAAAAAGGAACGTATTGGTTGGGGGCGAATCAACGATATGAAGTAATATACTTCTCTTTGTCAATAGGCTTTTGTAAATAAATTGTTGGCAAATATTATGCAGACAATCAGCGAGTCAATTTAATCATTCTAGTCGCGTATAAGCTTCGACAGTCTGTTTACTTCTTAGTTTGATGTCAGCTCTTGTTAGTACCGTAGAATCGATCGCTTCATGTTCAAGAATGAAACCTGAAAATTTGATTTATTAAATACGATTTTAAAATAAGAAAGTCTACTTCGTTTAATCATCGAAATTAACCTGTAGTTTCTGCTTGCTCGGATTTAAACTTCAGTTTCGAATTATAGTTTGAAACATAAGTTTGATACAAATCTTTTGCTCTGTCGTCCCTATCCTTATCAAATTCAAAGTTGCTCATTCCAAACAGCGCTCCCACTTTTCGACTCACGGTGGACAGTAAAGTTAAACCTGGAAAGCGAATATATGATGCAAGGTTTTCATTTAAACATAGAAATTGTCGACCTTTACCCTCCGTTTCGACTTTTTCCATTGCTGGCAAAATCGATTCAAGATCTTCTGTGTCTACATCTTTGTCTTCTTTCGATGACTTCTCAACTTGTTTCTTCGGTGCTCCTCTAATGGCTCCTTTTCTCACGCAGACAAGCATAGCTACCATATTTTGTAACGCTGCTCGTATGTCCATTAACAACTCGCCACGATCTTTTCTTACCTTTTTCTGTTCGATTTGTCGCTGTTTTTGCATCGCAATTTGGTCTAGTAAAGCGTCTCTGTCTACATTATATCTGTAGACGAACGATATCGTCCGCTATGATTAGAATATTAGATATCCAAAAAAGTTGCGTTCAAAGCAGTGGTAACCAACAGAATGTTAAGCCTATAGATATTTGTAAATACATTATAGAAACAAGAATCTGCCATAACTTCCTCCTGCACCAAACAATATACTTGTTGGATAGTAACTGTACAGGTTACTTACGCTTCCATATGTGCGACAGCAGCATACTCAATCTGTGAAAGACTTGCTAAAGCTTCATTCTTCCGAGTCAACAGCGAATCACGTTCTTTCACATTATGGTTGAATTGTTCGAGTAATCGTTTTCGCTGTTTCATTTGATCTTCAAGCCTATGATAAACGTTATTAATATTATACATATTATCAATATTATAACAGCAGCTGTAAGCACTGGTACCTTGATAGTAACTCTCTGTAGGATCGCACCAACAACGATTCTTGAACTTTCTGAAAGACTGCTTCTAGGGATTTAATCTGCTTCTCCAATGCTCCATTTGCTGCCATTGAAGCTCGTCTAACATCCATGGCGAACATTGTTTCACTCTGTTATGACACACAACAGATACAGTGATTTTCAGCCAAGTGGATATTGGAATAAAAATGATTACATTGTTTATAATTCATGATTATCTAATGCTTAAGTATTCTTCTGTTCAAGTTCACCTAAATGTTGCCACTTACTTCGGTTCGTATCAAAGATTGCGCATATGACCATAAATCTTCAACTTGGCTACGAACAAGTGTTAAAGTGCGTTCCCGTTCCTTCATATTGCTCCAAACTTTTCGCGCAAGCATCTTGCATTTCTCTTCAATGTCGGCGGCTTCTTCGAGCGCCAGCTGTCCCATTATTGTTGCCCTGACTATCAGCTTGCATTGCCTTCGTTGATCTTGTTTCAATATATCTAACACAGCGTCATGTCGCACCGTGTCCTAAACGAAACGAGTATTCTCTAGTTGCTGTAAAAATGTCCTCAAAGAAGGTAAAAATACCTGTTTCAAGATTTCAAGCATACAACTGTACGTTATATTTATCGCCTTAGCTGCATTTTGCTTCGCTACAGCCAGCTGATAGCGTGCTATTAACTGCTGCTGCACACTTTCTGCGTGAGTCCATGTCATCTCTTGTTCTTTCTTATACGTTTCGGAGAGTATCGCGTGATCCAACTGTACCATACGTTCATTTGAATATAAATTTTAGTAAAAACTAGAATGTTGTAGTTTTGAGCAATTTTGGAAGGCTCAAATATTGAAGTACGTAAAATTGGCAATATTTTCAATTCTTTTGGCGCCAGCTTGGAACTGAAGGGCTGAAACGATATTCTGTGGGTACAGAAATGTCCGTACCCTTTACCTATACTTCTGGAAAAACCTGAAAGACTCACTCAATAACTAAATTGACTATTCGACACAAAATTTTCATGGTGACACTGCGCATTTATTGCATATCATAGGATTGATGCATGCGATCAATATACGCAGTTGAAGACTAAGAATGGTAAATTTGAGCTATTGGTTCGCGAGTTATTTAATTTTTCAAAAAATATTCTCCCGCGGGTATCGAAACGCTATCATCACACAGCGGTAAATACTCAAACTAAATCTTCCGCATACACATAAGGCAGGGTCACCAAAAAACATAACATAAAATATGCATAAAAATTAACCAAGCAAACAGAACTGTTCAAGAGATTTTGATCGATATTATGTGAAAAAAGTTTATTTCTTGTAGAAAACAAAGAGAACAGATGATTCTTGCCACTTTGTCATATAGTACTATTAGAGAAAATCTGACACAAAGCAATTGTTTGAGCAATAGTGGCGTTCCTTACGACAAAATCTCGAAACTCCGTTCCAGAATCCTTATATTATTACAGTTATTATATGGTTTAAGCTGGGATCTGAACAGCGCCAATTAGTCTAGTGGCAAAACATTTGAACTGTTAGTTAAATTATCTACAAATGATACGTTACATTCTCCTGTATATTTCTATACCCTTAAAATATATTTTTAATTTCGGAATTAACGTTTTTGATTTAATGATGTTATGGTTTCGAATATATTGGACAACCGATGTTCTACTATATGTATTATGAACATCACCTGTAACTCGAAGCAAAGTTTCATTTTGTTCTTTTTCTCGTAACGAAGCTTATCCAGTCGACGTCGCCTCAGATTGTTATCCTCATAGACAGTTAAGCAGGTGTGCTGTAAATCGAATCAGCTATACATTTAGTCTTTAAAGTTTGAATCGTGAAACAAACCTCTACTTCATGACCAAGGCATTTTAACTGCAAATCTTTGTGACCATGGAGCTCTTTATATGCTTGATTTTTGGTATCACTGACGAGCTCTTGATATTTTTTTACGTCCTCTCGAAAGGTATTCAATTGCCATGATATTCTTTTCTTCAACTTTGCAGCATCCTGCAGACGCAACCTTTTTTCGCGGCCTTTACGGTAGAGATAAATAAAAATTGACTATAAAAATCATCACTATTAAGGTTTTATATTGTAGTTACTAACCGTATAACTTCAAAATCCCACGATATTGTTCAAGTTTATCCTTTGTGGACCATCTACTGTCCTTGTAGATTTCGACGCGTCTGGCGAACATTTTCTTGCACTACAATTTAAAACGATTTACAACAGCGCCTGGAAATGGTACAACAAAAACATTTTTGTTAATCTATTTAAAAACTTATAATCTTAGAGAATAACTCAACTTTATTTTACATACAAAGATTTATATATCATGTATAAGGAGAAAGTTGCGAAAACCTACGTGCTTCTAAAGGTTAGAAACAGTCATCAAATAACCTATGCGTATCGCATTCATTTATTGCATTTATACGGAGGTGTAAGCGCACCTCTGGCTCTCTCGCGCTCTCTTTCTTCCTTTTTCTTCCTCTCTTTCTCTTTGTTTGTCACATACACACGCACACATGCACCGCTATTTACCCGCCTTTTGTTCTTTGTTTATTAAGCTCATTCTTCGACTATTTTCATACGAAACAATTGTATTAGTTTCGTTCTTTACGCATATGGTGATACACGAGACGACGCGTGCAGCGGCGACAAAACCAATTCGTTTTCCTATCGTCTACATGTTACTAAAAACAAAAATGAAGCAAAAAGAAATGGCAGTTCTAAACGAGACTGTTTTGTCGCCAATTGTCACCAGTGTACACACGATCTAACGACGACATTTCGCTAAGAAAATATCGTATCAGGTGTTTAGATTTGCAAAGCAAATGTCGTGCACCAATTTTGTCCGACGTCTTTTCCGCCGATGAAATTTCGATACCAAACGGGAAGATGATAAAAAGAAAAACGCGCCGAACGATGTTACGAAAGTTAGAGACCATATGGTTGATATGTATTATATCTCGCGGATTCGGCACAGCATACGTGTCTTATCCGAAGGATAACGATTGACTCTACGATTGACGAGGCTAGATTGCGCGTAAACAGATTGCGATACTGCACGACAAAACGTGTAGCGCCAATTTCGAGCATGTATGTACGAAATATTTCTTATCGTGAAAATAAATCGATCGACTTTATCCGATTAAACATCTTTGTACGATCTACAAGGAGGCGGTGGTGCGCTCCATATGCCGTTGTCCCTACAAGTTGGTCTCCTAACGGGTTCTAGAGGTGTTACGTATCCGGGCGAGCAAGTCACCTGGCAAAGATAGTAATTGATTAATTAAATATATTACAAGACTAACATTGACATCTTAATGAATAACATTACCTGTATATTATCTCCAGGTTTGTACCAAAACTTGAGGGGAGCGATTCGCCCGTGCGGTGGATCACCTGGATAAGGACATCTCACTTTGCCTGGAAATCGATTCGAAACTGTGTCTAGTGTACAAGCATCAACGCGCAAGAGGCACATAATAACAAAAGACGAAACTTACAAATTGGTGACGTGTGGGACCACGTCCCATTTTCAGTGCATATTATGGATGCCTCGCCGATAAGTTGATGGCCTGGTAAACAGGCATATCTGACGAGCGCACCGACTTTGTGTATTCGACCACGGTGCTGTTTCCTACCAGAATTATGACGGTGACTTTGTTCGATGATACGACCGCTTTTCGGTATCGATGGTGCTGGGCAGGTAATTTCTACAGAAAGATCGTTCCTCGTTATTGATTAAAGACACAAAATTATAATACGCAATAGAACAGAATGCACAGTGAAAGTTAATTACCGGTACAGATGGGTACATCTCCACTCCACGAGCCGTCCTCCTCGCAATTTATAGCATCAGATCCCACGAGCTTGTGGCCCCACATGCAAGTGAACAATGCCCTGCCGCCGAAACTATTATTGTACTCGATAAGTTGCAACCGGGAGTCGTTGAGCGCGTCCAAAGGCGGACACTCGATCAGCGTGCATCGTGGCATGTCAGCGGACCATTTGCCTGACAACGTTAGCGATATCATAGCAAGAAGCGTTAGAGAATATTATTCAATGTCTTACCATTGTATTGGCACGTTATGCCTGGGGCACCTTCCAGTCTGTATCCAACAGGACATTCGAACACTGCTCCGTGTCCCATCCGCGCGCCTTCGATTTTCCCGAACAACGGTGGTTCCGGTAGGCTCAGGACCGGGCATTGAACGTCTGCAAACCGGCGTGAGAAATTATATCTTTCCGCTAACAATCAATTCCGCTATCTGCCTTCCTTCGAAGAAAAAAGGAAACAGCTGTAAAACTCGATCACTTACCAACAACGTGAACACGAATGGAGTTGGACAGTCCGCGGGGCGTGGAACACGTGTACGTACCGGAATCTTGAGCTTTCGCATAATATATCGATAGTCGGTACTTCCAGTCCCTTTCGCGAGCTGCGATCGCCCATCCTGCAGCGAATGGAAACCGCTACAACGCAACGTTCGTTGGTTTTCCCATGCAATTTCTACGTGATCGACATTGCGTTTTTCAAACGGTCTATTATCGAAAAAAAAACAAAAAAAACAAACGAAGCATTCAACTATGCGAATTGGCAATAGCTATCGCGCTTTCATAGGTTCATAGATTTTACTCTGGATACGTTGCAATTTCTCTGCAAATCTCGCTCATTAAAACAGATAAAAAACTCAAGTGTACAATTAAGTTTCCGGTTGCGTACCTCGATCTCACAACATCGAACGCCGTGAACTACTTACCAGTTAAGTACTGGCGAAACGTAGAGGTCCAGGTCCATTCCGGGTTACCAAGTTTCCTAGCGAAAAGGCACTCCAAGTGAAGAATGCTTCCTGGAAAGACCGCGAGGGTACCGGACGGTTCTACGGCTGCTGAACCAGCTGGGAGCCCGAACACGATTGTAGGTGGTACGTCCTCTGTTTCTCCTCGAACAGTCATCAGAGGAGAATAACTAAACACAAGTATCAGCCTTGTCTCCATCAGGAGAACTTGATACTTACAAGGGAACATACCGAAGTGATATACGCTGATTTTGGTGAAACTTTGGGAAATTATGGTTCTTAGAAAAGTATTCGACGTATTCTTTTTATCGACCCTTGTTCGTATTTAAGGAATAAAAACAACCCCCGAAACTTGGTGGTCGAAATCATATTCGGTCAAATATTTAGGAAACCATTAAAGTTAAAAGCATTAAAATTGCACTGTTGCGTTTTTTAAATAAAGAATCCAGCCGCTGAACCCGAGTTTCAATATCTGCATTTGTTTGAGAAGTATATCAAAAAATTACACTGTTTATGTTGATTTTTCATTTCATTGTTAATGCATAAAACAGAATTTTGCATTGTAAATAATGTTATTATAATTAAAAATTTTTGGCATCTTTTATAATACTAAGGCCTCAGATGTGAATAAACCAGTGGGCAGAGCCCAGTGTACCATATTCTAACAAATATGGTTTCGATCCCCAAATTTGGGAGCTGTTTTCATCCCTTAAATGCGAACGGGGGCCGATAGAAAAGAATCTGTGTCACAAATATTTTTCTAAAAACTACCTTTCGCCAAAGTTTCATCAAAATCGGCGAATATCACTTCGGTATGTTCCCTTGTTAGTGAACCGGGCGAACGTCGATCGTGTGAATGAAAAGGATCGATCTTTCGAAAAGAAGACTGCCTCTCGAGTTACTCACCGGTATAATTCGCAATCGCTGTCGTCGGAACGCAGGAAGGTACTGTTCCATTCCAGCTAGCATTGCGACAATGTAGCAGAGAATCGCCGATCAGTTTGTATTTACCAAGTTCCCTACACCGAACGGTCACTCGTTCCTCGTGCGGTACTGTAATTCTATCCACCTGAAGGCAGATCGATGTTTTTACAAGCATGTATTACCGACACTCTGCTCCTTTTCTTTTCAAATTTCAATACGTACCGATATAGTTATGTTTTTGTAAGTAACAATCAAGAGCGGATGTAGACCTTCGAGTTTGCAACTCTGTTGGAGTCCATCCGCATCTGGAAGTTTATAATCTTTTCGCTTATGAAACCCATATTTTAGTTACTATAGTTTATTTATTTAGAGTTACTATAATTAATAGTTAATAAGTTAATATAATTAATTAGTTTATTTATTTTAGTTACTATAGTTTTGTTACTATTTTGCACTCGTTTCGTTTCTATGTAAACATGCGAAATTTTGCTCCTGTTATAATTTTTTTCATTGTCACCATTGCAATGGAAACTAATACATAGAATTGTTTTTCCTAATGCTACCGCATGTGTACATCAAAACAAGTCTCGCTCGTCATTCATGCGAATGATCTTACGAATTCGCGTTCATTGAATCGCGCATGCCCGGCGCCGTTATGCCAAACGGTCGATAGGGTGTCTAGTATCTAACCGTTTTGAAAAGCGCCCAGACACATCGTCATCGATCCATCTCGGACCCTTGGGAACGCATTAGACATTGCCGCAAGGACCATGTTTTGGCAACGACTAAGAAAACAAGCCGAGTATTCTTCGGCTACTTTTTCTTTTCATGTTCCATGCAACGTATTTACAAGTTTGTACGCTGATTTCGCTGGCAACGATGCTACGACTTCAGCGATTACTAAACAAATAAACCTCGATATCGCGTCGATTATCTGTTCTTGTTTGTTGCATTTCGTTTCGCGCATATTTCGTTCGAAGCGCGACACACGAGGAGAGTCCATTGCGGTTCGCAAGGGGTAGATCGAATTCACTCCCGATGACGAACGCCTATACTTACCGCCGAACACCCCCGAAACGTAAAAAAAGTGAAAGGAGAATGCGAGAGGAAAAAAATTATTAAATGCAATGAGACGCACCTGTTTGACCCGCTTCGCAAAATCCAATGGTTAGACCGAGCAAGAGGACAAACCATCCCGCTGCAGTCGACGGGATCGTACGAAAGACGCTGTCGAATAATTTCCTTCGTCTTTTCTTCTCGATGGACATACTGTTTGTCTTCGCACATCAGAGCGAAACTCAGTTCGTGCTAGCACACCGGAATGTTGTTTCGATGCTGTACGCGCACCGAAAGTGGAATGAATTTTCATGCGTCGGTGTGTCGGTCACCTTTAATTTCGACATGACGTTTCATAAGCACAATAAACCGCACGTTACCGACCGTCAAACGCTCGAGAGCACTGCAAAGCGAACAATTGAATCAATCGGGAATGTATCCATGGGAAGATCGAACGTCGAGTCCGACAACCGGAACAAACGTATATATAACGTATATGTATATATGTATATATATATATACGTACGTGCCGCACAAACGGCGCCCAATCACCCGACGATCAACGGCAAGAGCAACGTCCCCACTAACTTTATCCCTAACGTTCCTAAACGACACGTACCGCCACCGCCACCACCACTGCCGCCATCGCCACCGCTACTATCACCACCGCTGCTACCACTATCGATGATCGCTAAAATGAAATTCGGGTAGAACAACGTATGTATTAGGGGGACCGGAAAGTAATGTCGTTTCTGCGCATATTTATCTGTTTGAATTTAATGTAAACAAACGACATAACTTTCCGGTCCCCCTAATATTATGATGGTTACTATCTTTGAGATTTTACTCAAAAGATTATAGGCGATTATTTGATGCGCATTACTTGTCAATTATTTGTTCTTTTTTATTATATAAATGTTTAGCATTTAAAATTGTATTCGCAAAAATTCGATTACTTTTATTCCGATTTATTCATAATTTCTCTTCTGAAAATGAAGATGTATGTTGGTACAAATAAGTGTCTTATCTATGCCACCAACTTTCGTTTATTCATTAAATTACTACGAATTCTCGCAGTACTCGTGTGCCCTACGAAGTTCACAGCATTATCAATCAAGGACCAGAAGTTGCCAATCCTCTCGAAGTCGCCAGGTTTGGCGGACGTCCCGAAAACTTGCAGGAAATAAATACAGTTGCTCGAAAAGAACTTATACAAGTCCCTGTAGTTATTCGATGGTTTTCTCTGACATTCTCTATTCCTTCTGTCCTTTCCTGTTTCTTCAGATGTATGCTATTCCTCCCGCGCGTCTATTCTATTTAATCGTCACCTATTGTCATTTCTAATTTATTCCTTTTATTTCTCCTCGATAATTTTCTTAAAATATAGGGATAGTGGACAAGGGGAAAACAGATTGAAAAGGTTGCGAACGGTCTTAGACTGAGAAAGTGAAGTATAAGGCCCTAAAACAGGTCTTCAATCTGCTGAGACTAGTTCACGATGTAAGAAAAGAAAGAAAGGTGAATCGACCTCATCCCTACTCCTGTGATCTTAAGGTTAGGTTCTGATATAGTCCGCATGGTGCTCTTGTGAAACTTGCGTGCTGTCGGTGAGAGTTCTATTGTGTGTGGCACTCATTACAGTAACACTACTATAGTAGTATCGCAGTTATTGAAATATAGTGTAAAAAATAAATTTGGTAGATAAAATGGTAATTTTGAAGATTTCTGTAATAAAGATCTTGTGAAATTTGCGTGCTGTCGGTGAGAGTTCTATTGTGTGTAGCACTCGTTACAGTAAACACTACTATAGTAGTATTACAGTTATCGAAATATAGTGTAAAAAATAAATTTGGCAGATAAAATGGTAATTTTGAAGGTTTCTGTAATAAAGAGACCGTGGCTTTAAATCATAAAGTATATTTATATGTGTATATAATATTTTTTTATATACACAATATTATATTACAAAAAGGACGTTTTATTGTAAAGTAGTTGTATCAAATAAAATATAAAATAAAGTCATTATATACCTTATCTATTGTATAATCTCGCTTCTTATTCTTTATATTTTTAATTTTTGCTAACTNCGAACAATTGAATCAATCGGGAATGTATCCATGGGAAGATCGAACGTCGAGTCCGACAACCGGAACAAACGTATATATAACGTATATGTATATATGTATATATATATATACGTACGTGCCGCACAAACGGCGCCCAATCACCCGACGATCAACGGCAAGAGCAACGTCCCCACTAACTTTATCCCTAACGTTCCTAAACGACACGTACCGCCACCGCCACCACCACTGCCGCCATCGCCACCGCTACTATCACCACCGCTGCTACCACTATCGATGATCGCTAAAATGAAATTCGGGTAGAACAACGTATGTATTAGGGGGACCGGAAAGTAATGTCGTTTCTGCGCATATTTATCTGTTTGAATTTAATGTAAACAAACGACATAACTTTCCGGTCCCCCTAATATTATGATGGTTACTATCTTTGAGATTTTACTCAAAAGATTATAGGCGATTATTTGATGCGCATTACTTGTCAATTATTTGTTCTTTTTTATTATATAAATGTTTAGCATTTAAAATTGTATTCGCAAAAATTCGATTACTTTTATTCCGATTTATTCATAATTTCTCTTCTGAAAATGAAGATGTATGTTGGTACAAATAAGTGTCTTATCTATGCCACCAACTTTCGTTTATTCATTAAATTACTACGAATTCTCGCAGTACTCGTGTGCCCTACGAAGTTCACAGCATTATCAATCAAGGACCAGAAGTTGCCAATCCTCTCGAAGTCGCCAGGTTTGGCGGACGTCCCGAAAACTTGCAGGAAATAAATACAGTTGCTCGAAAAGAACTTATACAAGTCCCTGTAGTTATTCGATGGTTTTCTCTGACATTCTCTATTCCTTCTGTCCTTTCCTGTTTCTTCAGATGTATGCTATTCCTCCCGCGCGTCTATTCTATTTAATCGTCACCTATTGTCATTTCTAATTTATTCCTTTTATTTCTCCTCGATAATTTTCTTAAAATATAGGGATAGTGGACAAGGGGAAAACAGATTGAAAAGGTTGCGAACGGTCTTAGACTGAGAAAGTGAAGTATAAGGCCCTAAAACAGGTCTTCAATCTGCTGAGACTAGTTCACGATGTAAGAAAAGAAAGAAAGGTGAATCGACCTCATCCCTACTCCTGTGATCTTAAGGTTAGGTTCTGATATAGTCCGCATGGTGCTCTTGTGAAACTTGCGTGCTGTCGGTGAGAGTTCTATTGTGTGTGGCACTCATTACAGTAACACTACTATAGTAGTATCGCAGTTATTGAAATATAGTGTAAAAAATAAATTTGGTAGATAAAATGGTAATTTTGAAGATTTCTGTAATAAAGATCTTGTGAAATTTGCGTGCTGTCGGTGAGAGTTCTATTGTGTGTAGCACTCGTTACAGTAAACACTACTATAGTAGTATTACAGTTATCGAAATATAGTGTAAAAAATAAATTTGGCAGATAAAATGGTAATTTTGAAGGTTTCTGTAATAAAGAGACCGTGGCTTTAAATCATAAAGTATATTTATATGTGTATATAATATTTTTTTATATACACAATATTATATTACAAAAAGGACGTTTTATTGTAAAGTAGTTGTATCAAATAAAATATAAAATAAAGTCATTATATACCTTATCTATTGTATAATCTCGCTTCTTATTCTTTATATTTTTAATTTTTGCTAACTGTGTCGTATTTTGCGACTTTCTAAATTTACCAAATCTGTCTCTGTGTAACCTAAGATTAAATTTTTTGAAGAAGAGCGGAATGCTTCCTTACACGTTTCACAATCAGTAATTTTTAACATTTGAATGCATACAAATCCGGTTATATGTATAATATACAATAGAAGACATGACCTCGCTCATACTGTCATTATGTACTATTTCTATTACATCGTTGCTCTTCCAATGTAATCTTTTGTTTCTCCTTTTCTATCGAATTATTACTTGTACAATTACCATTTGGGTGGTCATCTGGCCTGTCTATTATACCAAAAAATCTCTAGAATTATTAATATAATTAGAAACATAGAAAGTTAATAATACTAATACATGTCTCGTATAGCACAAAAATACTCTAATAAATAATATTGCTATACGAAGCATGTATTATTATTCACTGTAACATATAAATATTAGACTCAATCTGGCTGAATGGCAGTGCATGCACGCGGTAGGTGATTACTCATTAAAAAATAAAGTAATAAAGAAGAACAACATTTTTTCATTTTCATCTTACAATTAGTTAGTCACCCTTCGCCTGGTTGCGCATGTTATTCAGTGAGAACTTGTATAATTAGTAATTAATGTTTATATGTTGTAGTAGGTACATTGTTACTTTATTTTATAAGTTTTACCTCTTAGGGATCTTGATTCATTTTACTAGTTAAAACATACTTAAAACAGCAATGGTTTAATAAGTAATTGCCTAAGTCAAATCGGAGTCACTTTGAATTTTTCTTATGTCGAGGAGAATAAAAATTCGTCTTCACATGCAGCTTCTCTCTCCCAATTATCGAACCAGACAACTGTTTCATGAAAACCCTGAGAAGTGAAAAATTGTGGTATTAAAAAAACATAAAAATAAACAAAATAAAATTTAAAACAGAAAAAAATAAATAAAATTCTATCAAAAGGAGAACTGTGAAATCCGCCTATGGAACTCGTGATACGCAGTTTCTTAATACTCTGTACACCAATCATAAATAAATATTTTTTGAAAGAGTTTATTATCTTTAAATCTATACTGCAGTATGCATAGTCGGTTGAATGCGTCAAATAACGAATAACGAATAGAGAATAAAGAAAAAAGAAATCAATGCAAAAATAACATATATCATAAAGTAAAAGTAAAAGTTTATGCGAAAGGTTAAAAAAATGTCTATAATGCAAATTAGAAATGTCAATGAAGTAGTTTTGTCATTATGACTTTTGGAAATTTTAAATAGAAAAAAAAGTACATATAACAACTAAAAACGAATAATATGGTATAATGATAATAAACAATGGTCTCTATGCATGGTTTGCTTGTTTATCGATGTTTTTTTTCAGATTTCTGACTGATGTCCTGCAGATCATTAAATGTCACAGTCTTCTTTTTAATTCTATACTACATATACATTATAATTTTCTTTTTTAAATTAAAGAAAACTATCATTAAAGTCACAATTAGATGAATGTAAATATCTCGAAATTATAGACTTTGTGGTTAAGAGTAGAACGCCACTGTTCCAAAGCCTTTTATAGGTAACCGAACTTACTATATGTATAATAGTAGACATAATAGAAGCCATTCATGGCTATAACGTCTACACTTCATATTCCTTAATCTATGAACCATCATTCATTCTTTAATTATCATTCATTCAATCTATAAAACAAACTATTCAAAAATATTACACAAAAGAAGCAAAACAACAGACAAAAGCATTTTAAAAAAGTACAATTCATTTTTTTGTGGTGATATTTGTACCTGAACCTCACTTTAAATTATCTATTATTTTAATTTTACAAACATTTTACCTGATTTTCTGGAAAATTTGATGCCGATCTCCTTATTCCTCTGCCTAAAATATCTCGTTTTATACTCAGAAGATGCTAATGCACTGTACCAATTGTTTTTGATAAGTCATTTAATCTTTTCTCTTTTCTGTGTACCTGTCGTTAGATGACGCATATTCTGTTTGACAAATTCTTGACCTTACATTTTGTCGAAGGTGATACTTCTGCTTTTACGCTCATTATGTTTTCTTTTTATTTACATGTCGTGGCAGAATTGTATGAAGTAATAAACAATGTTTACACACACTCCCAGCTTGTAAAATAATCGAACATTTATTATGCCTCCATGTAACTTGGTCTTTATAAGCACACTCGGGATGCACATTCCTGTAATATTTAATTGTTGGACCTCCAACGCAAGTTTTTAATGTGTCAACTTCCATAATTAAATTTTCTAACTCGTGAATAGATTTTGGCTTATTTTTCACAAATTGCATATCGATCTTCTTTCCAAGAATCCGCAACTGTATTTCAGACTGGCAGTTCAAAATCACCTAGAAATTTTAATATCGAATAACTTCTTCCTTCTACAAGTTATAAATACCTGTTAATAATAAGTAATAAATACCTGTTTTGTGTATATCGATAACAATTCGTCTTTATTTTCTGGATCTGGTGTCAATTCAACTAAGGAAAAGATGAGCAATCCCTTACTTGGACAATAATGTAGGCCCCACTCGGGTTTAGGAAATTTAATATTGATTTGCTGCTGTGCAATTTTATAATATAAAGTATTTTCTAAACATGGAATTTCTTCGAGTGTGTGATCAATAATTTCTTCTTTGATTTCATCGCATAATTCATTTTCATTATGTATCTCTTCGTTCTTAAAAAAAATTTTTACATATGTGTTATCGCTTGTTTGTTGCGGTTCTACTTTGATACGTGATATGCTCTCCTCGTGCGATTCTAATTTTTTATTGTCTACAGGATAATACTTTATTCTTTTAGTAGAAGGTCCTCCGAGTTCTTCATTAATTGCTGCATCGCCATGCTTCGATGGTAAGGCTCCTTTTAATAAAACTTTCTTCTTAAATTCATGCTAAAATGTCATAAAAGTTAGAGATAGGATAGATTTCAAAATGACTTTAACACGCAGTGTTAATAATGTACAAATACTTACGCTGTATATAACATTACCGGCAACATCACGCACAATTTCTGCACTTTTTACGTATTTTTGATGAAAATGTTCTTCACATATATACGATTGGGTTGTTATTACACAACCTAAAAGTTGTGACCATTTATCACAATCCTCTGGAGACTTCGGTGCTTTAAAAAATGTAAGCTTTCTCGAACCCGATCGTTTGTTATAGCATCCTAAGGCACCACACCGTCTCACCATTATTAGATATAGTATTTAAATATATAAAATATACGTCGCGAACACGTTACAAATAAGAATCAATAAAAGCAATCGACACTACTCAGTCAACGTTATCGAACATCAACAAACATTTAGGTACTTGATCACTGGCATTTGACATGACGGCACTGTGTAAACATTTGCGGGCACGTGGCAGGTGAGCAGAGATGTTTCACTAGCTCCTCTCGCGGAAATTTATGGGAGTTTATTTTTAATTGTCACAGAAATTTTTGTAATTGTAGTTGGTCCGTCTTCCCAAAGATGATCCCCTCCAATCACATCTGGATACAGAAGTTGCGCATAAACCTGATAAAAAAAAATTGCAAAAATATTTGTATGTACACAATGATGCACAAAAATATTTGTACAAAAATCTGGGTAAAAGAATATCTGTGAAAACATTTCGCAAAAGAAGTTACGATAAGTGGTCATAGTACCATATCTTCGACATGTTTTCGTCACAGACTTAGAATCCATACGTACAGATATTGCATTTTATTATCACCCGAGCGAGGAGATAACGGGAGAGGTTACACTTACCGACATGGCAAGACGAAATCATGGGATTCGAGATTGACACGTAACTTTCTTAAATCGGCACCCCATTCGATATCTGTTGTTATTATTATAAGATTATAATTATAATATAATTATATTATATTATAATCTTATGTCATTATAATTATAATATAATATATTATATTCTCACTGCTTGAGAGAATTATGCAGACAGATGGTAATATAAGTTATAGAAAATAAGATAAAAATTGATGACGACCAAGACATAGATGATTTTTGTAAATCAAAGTCTGGAATTCGCGCACTGCATTGAACAATCCACTGTAGAATGATACAAATTCTTGTGTTCAACGCTTACCGACCGGTAGCCTACTAATCAGCTTTTTGTTCCCAGCACTTACCGACCGATAACCTCTAAATCGGCGTTTTACTTTGACCAGTTGCCTTCGATTGTCACGGCAACCGATAATGTGTTATCCACTATTGAGATGAAAGTGTTAGATTGAATTACTGTAAGTCTCTCGTATTATACAATTTTTTACATATTACATACCTTTCGCGTTGAATAAAATAAAAAATAAAATACATCAAATAAGTATTGGTTAATGCTAATTTCATGAAAATATAAAAATGTTTAAAAAAATTATCGTGTAATAACAGAAGGCGAATAATATATAAAACAATATTAAACAAAGTTTGATTTAACATTTCTATAACAGCTGCTGCTTTATGAATGATACCAATAAACATAAAAAAAGATGTTGATTTAAGGTGTCACCTCGTAAACCCATGTCTGATTTTGTCGGTAACTGTGTCCTTTACCTTTATCTCCTCATTAGGGAGTCTAGTCCCTTAATACAAATGCGGTATAGTACAGATTACTCGATTCTAAGAAAATTAAATTTCTAAAATATCGGTAACGACGAGTGCGACACACAAATGATAATGAGCTCTTACCATTGTACATATCGCGTTTGTGATAATACTTCCTCATCAAGAGCTTTTTCATTTTTGCCGGTACAAATTGGAACTGAAAAAGTGCTCTAAACGGCAGACAAATCATTTATCACAATTTCAGGATCTGACGTTATATCTTTCGGTAATATTTGTGTTTTCTGCTCAAATTATTTAAAAAAAATATAACGATGCTAAGAAACATAACCTAACTCCATTGTTTGAAAACAATTGTTAATTTGAGCTCTGATGTTTCGTACATCAAAGTTTAATCATTAGTGTCAAAGATGTATGGAATATGTCATCCTAGTGTAAGTACAATTATTTATACAATTATTTATATATTTGATATAAATTTGAATTTTAAGAAGAATTATTCATTTTATATCATTTTAGTATTATCATATTGGAAAATTAGGATGCACAGATCCTGTAAAGATAGGTACAATGTTCTATGTTTATATTGAACTGTGCGAAGGTAATTGACCCACGATACTAATCAAAATAAGCTTTGAGAAAATATCGTTATATTCATGAGTTTTTTTAGCACGACGATATTGGGAAGTTAATTATAAGTACAAGGAGAGCCTGGATCTACTCTATTTAGAAGTTAAAAGAAAGAAGAACTGTGAAACAGAATTCTACGTACCATGGTCAACATTATACAACATATCATTGAATAAAATAGAAGAAATACAAGAAGGGTTAAGCAGCGACAAGTAAAGTCAAATTTATGTTTAGAATTGCGCTACAGAATTTAGTATAATTTACGAATAATTTATACTATTAAATTGCTTTTCTATAGGATCACATTTGTTTTTAAATCCGAGGATGGTACTAGCGTTTTCTACAAGGTGACCAAAGGCCTAGTTAAACCTATGTCCCCGGAAGATAGTAAATTAATGAAGGAGAAAGAAGAGAAAAAATTAGAATTGGAAAAGCAAATTAGAAAAAATACTTCAAACTTGTATGAATTAGCAAAATCTTTAAATTCGGATAGTAGTAATAAAGAAACGGAGGCTGATGTAAATGAGGCCGATGTAAATAAAGCAGATGAGAAAAGATAAATTTTCAGTAGAATTTGAATAATGCCTGCAAGTACCACATTATTCTTCGAAAGTCTGAATTAACATTTTCAAGCCATTGCATCGAGAGCGTTGATAGTTACATATATTACTTTTTGAAAAAAAGGTATTAAAATTGTATGCTTAACATAGAACTCGACAGGACTTCACATTTGTAAATACTTTTAAATTTTTGTAAGGAATAAAGGAGATCGAACGCTGAATGAATTATACATTGCTTTTGGGTATTTATTATTGAAATAAGTATTGCTTATATATTCGTAGTATTGTAAAGTTGGGAAGTACTGTTGAAAGTTACTTAACTAAATAGAGTGATATGTATTAAGCTGCCACTGCAAATGTATATGTTAAATAAATTATTTCATAAGGATAACCTGTGGGTATCCTTTTATCTAGGCATACTAACTGTTCATGTGATTTTAATAAACGCTACGAGGCACATGCTGTTTCATTACTATTAGATTAAAGATAAATACAGTGAACATGTTACCTAATATTAGAACTTAGCTAGTCTACATTATTAGCTACATGTATATAAAAATAAGTAACGAAAGTACGATCTAACAAGGTTTCTACTTTGAGTGTTAAAAATAGATCTATCTACAAAAAAATGTACGACACTTCTATTATATATACATTTTTCAATTATCATGTTTTTTTTTCGAACATTATCCAATCGTGAAAGTTGTCAGTATACATGAAGAAACTTTGTTCTTGTAAAAGTACTTATGTATGTGATGTAAATGTTAATACAGTATCATTTTTTACTGATTAATG